TGATGATCTTCATGGTACCGGGAAGAGAACCTGGGGTCTAATTACCTCTGAGACAGAACTTTCGCCTGTCCTTCCAGCGCCGCTCCACCTTATTCCTCCGTCTGGAGGGACTCAGTGCCACCAAGACCTATGCCTTTTGTGGATTTTAGGGATGAATTCGTTTGCACCTTGACTTTCCTCATTGCTGCCTTGGGATTGATTCGACTCCTGAGATCCTGCTATGGTTTCTTCCCCTGACCTCGGTCCTTGTGGTTTATGTCTTATTTTTATTAAGTTTAAAGTGATTTTTAAGGGTTTCAGTGAAAAGTAAAGCCCAAGGCATTAGTGAAGTTGCTATCTGTACCTGAAATTTCCCTGTCTACTATTACCCCTTCCCCTGCCCTGATGGCAGCTCTGTGCAATCTAGGTACCYCGTCACGGTGGTGGGACCCTGCTGTGCCCGTTGATTTTGGCCCTCTGGGGCTGGTTGACTGTTTGCTTGAGTCTCTGAAGGTTGAATGGTCCACCCCTAAACACTAGCTGTGAGTACTTCTCTTGGGCCATCTCTGACCAGTGGATGGATCTAGTTCTGCTATTGAGAATCTGCCTTTGCCCCTGGCTCTGGGTTGCCAGGAATAAACTGTAGGGCGAAGTCCAGATACGATATCAGGACCATCCTGTTTAAGGCACAGGGAAGTAACAGCAGGCTGGTGGCTCAGTCTCAGCTCTGTGACGTGGTCTCCATATGCGTTCTCTAGCTTTTAATTCAGGTGTAGGACTTTCTCCATGTCCCTGGTGACCTATATTAGGAAATGGATTCAGGTGAATCAAACTCAGAGAAGACTAAGCCACTTTAGGGAGTATTTATTAATTTATAACAGGCTATCTGTTTTCCCAATAACTGAAACATTTATGTCTGTAGGACATTCCTTCTCGAAATAACAATCAAGTTTTCAGATATAGTCTGTACACAGGGATATACTAGTGACATTTACAGACGTTGGTTTCCATTCAGAATAACTCTGTGAGGTTCCATCCACCAGGAAACCATGTATTCACGGAGGCTGAATTCACTTTTCAGAGATGACAATGTCAGCGAGAGACTCGGAACTCTTTGGCTCCAGGGTCTGTGGRTCAGAACTTGAGGGCCACAGAACCAGACACAGAATGAGAAGGTCTCACAAGAATCCCCCTGTGGTGGAATTTAGGAGTCAACAAAGGTCTTTCTAAAGAGGACCTGTGACTGTCTTGAGAGAAGAGAGAGGACTGGTGAGGGGACAGGTGAAAAGAACAGGCAGTGGGAACAGCATGTGTAATGGCCCTGAGGTGGCAACACTGGTGCACTTAGAGTGACAGAAGTCCAGTGAGCAGGTGAGTCCTGAGCCGGACTGACACTGGAGAATGAGTGACAGAAGACAGACAGGAGGACTGACATGAAGCCACCAGCTGACAGCTGGGACCCCCTTGAAGCTAAGCTGACCCAACAGTGAGGAGGAGACTGCGATTTGGGGGGATGGTAGGGAGGCTGTCCCCCACACCACGTGTTCTATCTAAATTATGTGAATACTTTTCCCCAACATGGCCGGCTTCCTTGTATTAGAGAGTTTCTAAGAATTAGTTAAATGTGCTATGACTGTTTTTCTTTTTCTCATAATAATGCATTCTCTATAAAATCATTGTTTTGAACAATCATTGATAATTAATAATTTGAGGGCCAATAGACCTGCGGTTCTCCAACTTGAATGCCTGTTGAGATTATTTTTAAAAGCAATACAGACGTTGGACCGGGGTGTGGCTCTKTGGTGGAGCACTTGCTACCTCGGGGCAAGGCTCAGGTTGGGTTCTCAGAGCCACAAAATACAAACAAACAAACAATCAAAAAACCCCAGGTGCTTGGTCTCCTACCTAACCTACTTGAATCATCTGTTGTTKTTTTTTTTTTCTCAAGTGTCACAAGCTGTTCTTATGCAGCTGGGCTAACCAATTGTCAGGAGGCTCACGCTCTGGRTCAGGGACAGTGGCAGTTGTTCAATGTCAAACAGGTGAATGGAGGCAGCACGAAGCTCAGGCCAGGCCTGTTTCCTGCCTCTCAGTGGAGACTCCAGCAGGGCAGGGGTGTGTGTGCTGTAGACGCCGTACATTCCCTTCCCTTCCTCTCGTCAGGACTGTACTCACCCATTGGCCAGGTGGCTCGGGATACTTTCAATATGGCGCTGTGGGCCAAGTTGGGCGATGGTCACTGTTCTCAAAAAGCTTAGGAACTGTGTATTTCATTCATTCTAAAATGTGCTCTTTTCATGTTTTCACAAAGTGCCTACAACTTTTATGGTACCTTAGCACTTGCTATAGTGGAATCGAGAGTGTTTTTCCTTTGTGTGATGTATATGCCACTTAAAAGCCATGATGCCTTCAAATGGATGAAGCACAGTAGCTGAAGGAGGAACAACATACTTGTGCGAACAGGTAGCCAACAGAAGCCTTGCCTGTGCTGTTCCCTCTGCATGGACAATCTTGCCCTGGGCTTCACCAGCTCCACTAATCTAGCACAACTCAACTCAAACGTCACCCGCTYTAGGAAGCCCTGTGTGTCACCCAGTCCTACTAAAAGTCTAGACTAAAAGGCTTTCTCTGGGCTCCTGTGCTTGTCTCTGACCTTTATCTATCACACTATGTTACACTTGCCCCCAACTCCATGTGACGTCCCTGAAAGCAGAGATGTAAGTGTATACCTCTGTGTCCCTCAAGCAGCCTAGCACAGAGCCTGATGCATACTAGAAGCTCAGCAACTGTTGAATGAATGAATGGTGAAGGACTGAAGAGTTACAGGCTGTATATGTTCTGTTGCCGCATGTCACCCCAGGTAGCTATAGAAGAAAGGCAGGGTATAGGGCTGGAGGTCAGGGAAGGCTTTGTAAAGGGAAGGATAGGAGCTCTTCTACCAGGACGGCCAGTGGAATAAATCACTCAGGACTGCAATGAGGATTGAGACAGGCCAGGTACGGAAGTGTACCCCTGTAATCCCAGCTACTGGGGAGGCTGAAGCAGGAGGATCGCAAGTTTGAGGCCAGCCTCAGCCACTTAGTGAGACCCTTAGCCTCCGTGAGACCCTGTCTCAAAATTTAAAAAGTCAATAAATTAAAAAAAGGGCGAGGGATATAGCTTAGTGGCAAAGTGCTCCTGGGTCATGGGTTCAATCCCTGGCACCCAAAACAGAAGAAGACTGAGACAGAGGCAGCACCAGGACCCGCATACTCCTCCTGCAGACGCTGTGATGAGTGTTACCCAGCGGATTGTGTGTGTGAGCCTCTGGCGTTCAATTCATCACTGCCCTTTATAATTAGCTCTGGGTTCTGAAACAATAGATGCCCAGATTCAGAGGGGAAAAAAGCCTTTCAACTCTCAGTGAGCTCTCACAGGAAGTCCTGAACACACTTCGTCTTTGTGGTCTGCCCCCAGAGCTTCCTGCCAGAGTTAACAAGGTTTCACAGGTTCCAGGAGCCCGGGAGAAGGTGGGCAGCCGGCACCACAAGCCTGGCACTGACGCTTCAAAGCAGGAGTCCTCGCAGCCYCTTGTTTTAGAACTGCAACCGAAAACTCTTCTTTATCTCCCCACTTCTTCCAAAGTACAGCTCGCAGTCAGCCGGCGGGGGGCGGCCTCCGTCTTCTTACTGGTCATTTGTGAGACTCAGGATTGGTTTGATGGCAGTTGTCTCAGCCGGCCCTCGTGGGTGTTGCCTGAGGAGCTCACAGTGCCTCGGATATTCCTGGATTCCTCTTTTCAAGGACGACCCCACAGATCATCCAGACCACTAGTGATGGCTCAGGAAAGGGAGGCCCAACACTTAGGTTTTCTGGTGACTCGCGTTGAAGTTTGTGCTTAGAGGTGTTGATTCACAGATCGCCACGTAGATGGACCCAGCTTTGCTTCTGAGACCTGGGGAGGGGCAGGGGAGAATGTTCTGGCCACTCTAGTGGGGATTCAGGTGGCTCGGGTGATGCCACACCAACGAGGCTCCTTCTCATCCTGCAGCTTCCTCCGAGTAACACCCAGCTGTGTCCTTCAGTGAGCAGACCCCAGGGTCAAAGCCAAGCTGTTATTTCACTCCTCGTCAAGGATGGGGAGCAAGTGTCCACCAGGACACGGAAGAAAGCTGAAAGTCCTTTGAGCAGATGGGAGGCCTGTAGGGGACACAAGCCCAAGTAACCCCCGGGCATATGGTAACTGCATGGGATGTGAGAGGGAGACGAGATTGCCAAGGGTTTTGTGCACTGTCATGAATCATCCTCACAATCACACTCCTATTGTTTCTCTCTTCTCGGTGACACAGATCTATGAAGAGGCCTCGGATCTTCAACCACATGACTGAGTGACAAAGAGACAGCAGGACCATGGCCGGCAAACCCAGGGAGGCGACAAAGTCTTACATGTTGCCAACGTCTGATGGAAAAGTGGACCTGCACACCCAGAGCTGAGAACTCCAAAGAGCCTTTTCATTGGAAAGGACAGTTTTAATTGGAGGAAGGGGACGGTGAATTTTCTGCCGCTCCATGGGGAGGTTTTGGTTGCACTCGAGGTCTGGGGAGGGGAGGGCCTCTCTGCTGGCGGACCTGTGTGCCTGACGGGGGAGCCCTCTTCTGTGGCTGGTGCTGGACACGATGGCTGGGAGGCAAGGGACGAGGACCAGGTGTCTGGACACGATGACCAGGAGGTGGCGGAGGTTGGGCAACTGCTGCATTTGGAGGAGGTGAGGTGGAGATCTGGCTGGGCTTTGGGCTTCTGTCCTCAGAGGTGGTTCTGTGAGCTTTTACCTCCAGCTCCTCATCTGCAATGACAAAATCACTTGAGAGCTTATTCTGGCAAGAGGTGATCCTGGGAACTATGGAGCGCCTCTGAGAGGGGCAAGGCTTTGGAGGAAGCCAAGAAGAAGCAGGGACAGAGCTGACCCTAGGCTCCAAGAACTCTCAGTCTTGTTGGGGCAGGAGAAATGCTGACCACAAGCTGGAGGGARACCCCAGGGCTTTGCAGAATTCAGGGCCCCAGAGTGGGGAAGGCACCCAGCAGGGAGAGCTTGGTGCTCGAACCAGAGAGCAGACAGCACTCAAACCCGGGTCTGCCTTGGTGCCGGACCATCCTAGACACTGGGTCCTGAGAGCAAACCTCGTGATCAGAGTCTGTTGTCGGGGAATCTGAGTCGTCTCAGAGGAGCTACATTCCTCCTGACAGGTCTCTGTGTGGATATGCTCCTATTCAGTCTGTTGTCAGGCAACCTACATTCTGGCGACAGGTTGGAGCACACACAAGGGGCTTTTTATCCTCAGAAATTGACTAGTTCCTTGGAAATTTGTGCACAAGACCCATCCTCTTGGGCCAAGGAGGGAAAGATTCTTCTTCCCTCACCCTTTTGGGATTTTTTTCTGCTTTGTGGGACTTTAGCCCATGAAGACAGCCCAGGACTAATCAGAATATAGTAGTTTTTCCTGTACTGCTTTCAAGTCACAAAGGAAATCTGTGAGGCTGCCTCGCTGCCATAGACAGAGGGGGCTCTGCTGGCCCCCTCTGGCCTCCAGGCTAGGAGTTAGGTATTCCAGTCCCACGTACAAGACCATCCTCACAGGCTGCAGAGGCAGGCCGGAGTAGATCCCCCCTGGGGTAAATTAGTGATCTCTTGCACCTTTATGGTGCTGTGGCTTGGGAAGCACAGTCCCTCTGAGCATCACCTGTAAGTGCAGGCAGATGATGCCAATCCAGTCAGCCTCCTCCGGCTGCTGGAAACACAAACATCAGGCGGCTTTGAACATGAAGGCTCAAAGTCAGATAATGTGGTTTTGACATCTGTGTGGCCCRGGTGCTCTAAGCGCCTAGACAGAAGGGCCCAGAAAGGACAGAATGCATCCTGTCTGCCATCTTTGGTGCCCAGTGGTAGCTGAAGTTATGCTCAGGAGGATGCAGAGAGGACTTTGACCCTCAGTCCCAGTTCTGGGTATGGAGCAGTGAGCCGCCCTGCTTCACCCCAGGTGGCAAGCTTGGGCTGCCATTTGTGATTAGTGTCTGTCCTGCTGCTCATCCGTTTGCTCCTCCTACACTGATTGCTGACCTCCTAGGTGTTAGGCACCATTACTAAGTGGCAATCATGACTCAGACACACTGTCCTCAGGAAGTCTAAAATCACRTAAGACAAAGTGAGGACAGCAAATCACAATACCAGTCTCAGGACTGCACAGGGCCACCAGAGAGGTGCCAAGAGCCACAGTCGCAGGGTGAGGAGTAGGGCGTGGCCTTGTGGCTAAGCTCTTGGGCAGGTTCGGACGGACAAATCAGCTGTGGCTCTGCGCGACCTGCCTGGTCAGAGCAGCACGCCGGTCCCCAGCATGTCCACTCCAGTAACGTCCACACCTGCTCCCAGGAGTTGCTCCCGGCTCATCGGCCCTTTCCTTCACCTGCATCTCCTTGTTACTCACCCAGGCTCGGGACTGAGGTGAGACCAAGGAAGCRCAGAGGGTGTGGGATTTAAGGAGGTGCCCACTTCCGGGGCATGCAAGAGGAGGGTGAGGGCCTCCTTAAAGGTTGTGCCCTTGGGCTCCTGGCCTCCCCCTGACYCTGACTCAGCTTCCTGGTCACAGAGCTTGAGGCAAAGGATGTAGCCTCCCTGATGGGGGGGAGGCTGTCACCTGGGCTGGTGTTTTCTCTCCCAAGGCCACTGGAGGCTGGGTGGGAGGGTGAGTGCAARGCCTRGAGGTCAGTTTCTYTGTCAACATGAGCTAATTATCAGGKGGGTCCYTTCAGCCTGGTGAGATCGGGGGCTGCTCTGTCTTGGGGAGACCTGGGAGGTCYACCTTGGAAGAGAGCATGGCCGTTGACCATGGGTGATAAGAAAGGACCTTTGTAGGGGAGACAGGCTGAGCAAGGCACAGAGCTGAGGAAGCCACGGCACCAGGGGGACTCACCAAGGGACTGTTCTAAATTTGGAAAGACRTGCCCAGCTCCATAGGGAAGTATAGTGAGACAAGGGGTCAGGGGTGGCCACCTGAAGGGGTGGCTGAGGGAAAACTGTGGAAAGAAGTCTGAAGTAAGATGTCAACGCCAAAGGGTGCAGGGCCTGAGGGTCCTGGGTGGCTGCACACCAGGTCCCCCGGGCTGTGCAGGAAGCAGCTGGTGGGAGAGGCCTGGTGAGGGGCYGCAGTCCTGCTATGAACCAGAGATGACACAGGACACCACGGCTTGCCTGCACAGCTGCCTGCCCAACTGTGGCTGATACCCCAACCCTGCACCTACAGCGACACCTGGTCTGTCCCTCCCTGATGTGATCTGCCTTAGGTGGCCTGGATCTCCACTCATGAGCATGACCTTTTCATGATTGGTGGGTTGCAAGACAGGACTGACCCAAGGAAACAGCACCCCCATCCCTAATGTATCCCTCCTGAACAGTCAGTTAGAAAAGGGGGTACAGAGACCTGTTTGCAGGGTTTTGTTTGTTTGTAGTGCTGGGGAGGGAACCCAGGGCCTAGCCCAAAGGCAAGAGCACTGCATGAGCCACAATCCCAGTTACCTAGTTCCCAGGAGCTTGGTCTTGACCTGGGCCACTCCAGGTCTGCAGATGGACAAGGTATTTTCGAACGAATCTTTCTACCCACCTGGAGCTGTGAGGCCCTTTGGCATCTCTCTGGGCCAGCCTTAGACACACTCAGCCTCAAGCGGGGATTCCGATGAGACCAGCCAGGATGTAGCTCCCCAAACTCCCTCGCCGTGGGCCCAAGCTAACCACAAAATGGAACAAGCTCTAGCTTCTGGTTCCTGTCCTGATGTTCTGAAACCATCTCCTCCTTTTCTTTGAGGACCCAAGGTGCCATCCCCTTGAGATGACTCCCGTGGGGATTTTGCTGCGGCCTGGGGTGGCACAAAAGAGGGGGAGCTCACCGTTGCGCCTGCTGTTCTGCTTCTTCCTCTTGCTGACATAGAAAATGAGCAGCGCCACGAAGAACAGGAGCAGGCCTCCCGCACAGACGCCAGCGACGAGATAGCTGTTCAGACCTTCCCCTGAAAGAGAAGAGACGGGCTCGGCAGGGAGGAAGGGGCCCGGGCAGCCCATTTCATTGCTTTAGGCTAAGGCCCCCAGCTTCCCACTGGTCAAGGTCACAAAGGGCCAAGCTTAAGGAGGGTGGCGAACTGGGTCCATGCCTAGAAGAGGCCCAGGGGTAAGTGGCCTCTGGAGTCCTTGGGAAACTCGAGACTAGAACGCCCTGGTTGTTCATGCCCCGAGGCCTGTCCATCCCTGCCCACTCGCCSAGGAGAGCATCAGGACATTTTATTCATTTTTTTWATTTTTATTTGTCTTGGTGAGGCTGGGATGAGACCCAGCCAGGGTTTCACAACAAGCGAGGCCGGCAATCTGCCACGGAGCCACTTCCCCAGCCGAGCATCACAGAATTTTAGACCCAAGTAGTTGAGAGATAATCTAAGCGTCATCTCTATAGAAGGAAGGAGGATGAGTTTCAAAGATAAGGTCCAGAGAGGGAGGATGAGTTGCCTGAGGCCACACAGTATCTGTCTCTGACTGGTTCCTCTAAGCAGCCTCTGGTCTCTGGCTGTCTCTGCCGTCTTCCTGCTCTTTCATCTCTGGCTTCCCTCTGGGGCCTATTCTTTCTTACCCTCTTGATCAGGCAGTTTCCAAACACTCAGGGTAAATTAATTCACGGATGCAACCCAGCCAGCCCTCTCTCCTCCCAGACTTTCCCCCAGATCCGTGAGAGAAGTTCACCGAGACCRCAACAGCAGTGGCAGGGACCTTCAGTTCCTAGAACCTCAGTCACTGCCACACAATAAGGAGAACCAAGACTTCAGTGTTCAGGGAAACGGGGTTTGGTCCGGGTCTTTTAGACAAGAGCTGTGTGACYTTTAGCAAGTTACTCYACCTCTCRGAGCCTCCTTCCTTYTTTGTAAAATGGAAACAATGAGACCTACATCACAGGGTGGCTGTTGGAAGTCAATCAGATAATGGATGGAAAAGTGCTTTATAAACTGTAAAACAACACACAAATGTGAGGTCTTGCTTTTACTAGTGCTCTTGGCACAAGTGTTTTTCATAGCAGTTTCCCGAGGAGGGCTGCTGGGCCATCTGCCCTTGGTGAGTCAATAGCAGTTAAAGAGGAGCAGCTGGGGTTGGGGGGTCAGGGGACTGGGAMGCTGGGAGAACAAACTGGAGCTAAGCCCAGCATCACAAAAACACTTCTGCAGCCAAAAGATCCTAGGAAGAGGCTGTTACACACGGACCCAGGACGGGCCCCAGGGATCCCGCCAGAGGCTCAGACACCAAACTGAGCAGGGTTTCAAACTGTGCTGGTTTATTCATCCTTGGCTGTCCTTCCTGCAGTCTCTCTCTCACCCATTCTCTGCCAATTACACAACCTCTCTGAGCTCTGCCTATGAAGGAGCATCCACTAGATAAGCAGCCAGAGTCCTCTACCATTGAAACTGGGCCAGGAAAGAGTCTGGGGTCTCTGTCTCCTGCTAAGCTGAAGACTCTCAAGATTGACCCAGGTGGGGAAGGGCAGGCCTGGGGTGAGCTGGGGACACATGTGTAGGCCACAAAGACACCGGCCATCTTCCCTTAGAGTCTGTGGGCAGGAGGCTCATCCCCTTAACGGAGGCACACTTGGGAATGCAGATGGTGCCTCCCACAGTTCTATGCTCAGGTCTGTCCAGTATGGTCCCCTGACACCTGGTAGTGCTCGCTGTAGGGACATTCCACCTTGCCCTAGAGGCAGCTTTGGTTTGTCATTTAAAAAAGGGTCCTTGCCGTAGAATGAATCGGACGTGACCTTCCTATGTTCCTATGTGACTCCAAGATCAGGGTAGCTCCACATCGTGTCCAACCACAAGAATGGGAAGTTAGACTCCATGTATGTATGCCATGGCATAATGCACTCTACTGTCGTGAGTAACTCAAAAGAACACGTTTTAAAAAATTAAACAACAACAACAACAACAACAAAAAACCCAGGTTCTCGGGTTCTCTAGATGCAACCACACCTCCCTCCTACACCTCCTCTGTGCATGAGTTTGTGGATGGAGTATTTCTTGTGTGTCGAATGTGCTAATTCCTCCCAGGGTCTTAAGTAGACCTTACTTAAGCTAAATGGTTAGCATCTACCCACTGATCCTCTCAGTCTTGGCCTTTTAGAGTGAAATGTCCAAATCCCTTTTAGGGTCTTTTAGGGCAGCCCATTCCTTCCCTTCCATCTGAGGTGTGCCTCCCATCTCCTCGGTGGCCATTTCCTGGACCAGCTCCTGCTCTGCACCTTCTACAAGGGACATGCGTGTGGCTGCCTTGCACCCTCCTTAATGCACACTGGTGGGATCTAGTTAAAACAAGTGTGAAGGGTGGGATTGCCAGACAGAACACAGGTCAGTTAGATCTGAATTTCAAATAAACAATGAATGACTTTTAGCTTAAGTATGCCACGTTTGGAAGTACGCCATGTTTTTACTTATAAAATCTCGCATCTCCAACCAAGGCCCTCCTGAAGTGGAGGATGGGACAGAATGGCTGATGGTGGCCCACACGACGGGGCAGAGTGACACTGGTCTAAGCTTGTGGTTGGCTGACCATCTGATTGATCGTCGGCCTCCAGTGACCCCTGCCTCCTGGCATTTCTGCCTCTGCGCCGTCCCCTCTGAGTGTGGGCTGCACTTACTGCTAAGGCATAAAGTCCAGCAGAAGGGAGGGGCTATCAAAAAGGAGACGAAGTCATAAAAGGACTGTGGCTTTTGTTTCCGTCACTCACTCTTGCTGTCTCTCAGAAGGCTCCAAAGGAAGCTTAGAAAGCCCTGTTTCCAGGCAGCCCAACAGCCCATGCAAGCAAGCCTGGAACTAGGCCCGAGAACCCACCCATCGGATGGTCTTGATCATCACAGTCACTAACGGGCAGAGAGGTCTTGGGCAAGTCAGTCTGCCCCCCAGGGAAACGGGGATTGGCAATGCCATGATCTCTGCCTCTCCTTCTCCCTCTTCAATACAGCAATTGTTTTTCCTGGAAGAGGATGATTTCTACTCTCCGAGGTCAAATCACACACTCCCTGGAAGTCTCCTGAGGGCTTCCCTTGAAGGCTTCTAAGAGGGAGAGGTACACCTGTCACTTCCCATCCTGAGCCAAAGCTGTCTCCCACCCCAGACACCTGTGCCCTGGGCAGAAGTGGCACCTGCCACTGTGCCCACAGGCCTGGCAGACTGTGTTTGTGAATCTGGGACACCCTGCCCGATGCCCCCACGTACCTGAGCAGCTGATGGCTGCCACGGTGGACTCCTCACTGACTTTGTTGCTTGCCGTGCACTTGAATGCTGCATTCAGGTTGGTCAACTGATATCTAATGACCTTCAGACGACCTTGAGTGAGCCGTTTGCCATTTTGATACAGAATTAATTCAGGGTTAGTTCCTTTTATTACCTCACAGGTCAGGTTTGTGCTGTGACAATCCCAGGAGATCTTGGGTGTTGAGACCATCTCTAAAAAATAAATAAAAATCCCAATATATTAGTCAAATTTCTGATTTTAATATTTAGACAGTAGGGAATGGAGTCAGTTTGAGACAGGAGCACAATTTTTGAATTCCCTAGCCATTTTTTGAAAATAATTTKTTTTTTTTTATTTATGTAGAGCATTCAGAACAAACTTAACTTCTGGTGAGTTTTTAGATACATTAGACTGTTTAAAAGCATATAGTAGTTATTGTTTTTGTACCGTTTTGTACCTTAAAACAGTTTTACATACTTGGTATCATTTCGTTATGACAAGAGAGGCTGATGTTTTTCTTTCCATGACAGATGGAAAGTCCTGGACTCACTCTGAGAGGTTCAATGAGTTGTTTTAGGGTGCTCATGTAAAAATGGCAGATCAAAAGAGGAGCCTGCCCCACCCCAAGTTCAAGTTCAGGAGTACAGTTAAGAGGTTACCACATCCTGCCTTCCTTCCAGAGCAGCCAGGGACCCTGCCCTGGAGGAACAGGTAAACCTGTGGCCTGGGATCTTGACCATGCACCCCCTCCCCCTGCTGGGGTCCTGGGAGCAGAGAGCCAGGTGGGCACATGGGTGCGTCAGGAGCTCAAGGCTTACAGAGGAAGGGCTCTAGTTGGGAAACCAGAGACTTGGCTCTGCCCTTTCCCAGCCCAGAGCTGCTTGGTCATTCTCTGTGCCTTGCTGGACCTCATCTTTGAGAGAATGATAAAAAATATATATATATATATATATATATATTCCCTACCTGTCACAAAACGATGACATGTGACAAATCCCGGTGCACATAATTGGTAGCAGTGCTTATGTTCATAACCAGAAAAATCCCTGCCTCTCCTTTTCTGACGTGATTATATTTAAGGTCTGATTCAGAAATCAGCCCAGCCGTGGCCTTAGGTAAGGCAGGTCCTCCTCCCAGGCCTCCTCTCCCTAGCTGGGTGACCTCTTTTCTTCTCCTCTGGTCTTTTTCTTGCCCTTGACTCTCTTGACTCAGTCTTCCTTTTCATTTTCTCTCCATTCGTTATGCAGAGAGACAGCTTATTTTTTCACAGTTCCCTCCCTCTCTGTCTTTCAGATGAAAATACTTTCCAACTCAGTCAGATTTCATTGCTGACCAAATATGTATGGGCGTGCAGAAATGATTTCTTCCTGTCCTGAGACTCTGTGTAGCCCAGAATGAGGAAAATGGAGACCCGTCACCACGCTCCAGAGTAGTAGTCTAGGGCTGGGGTCAAGGTGTCTATCTAGAGTCTCCTAATTGGTCATATCCCATCATTGTAAAAACTGATAAAATAGAAAATAGTTTAAAACACACAAAAAAATATTACATGCAATTTCACTACCCATCGTTAATAATTATTAGTATTTTTTTTTCTTTTTTTGGTACCAAGATTACCAAGTCCTTTTTATTTTAAGACAGTGTCTCACTAAATTGCCTAAAGCCTCACTAAGTAACTGAAGCTGGCTTTGAACTCTTGATCCTCCTTCCTCAGCCCCCCAAGTTGCTGGGATTACAGGTGTGTGCCTCAGCGCCTGGCATTGAATATTTTGATGTATATCTTTACTAGCTATTTCCTATGCATGAACATGTATATCAATGATATTTTAAAAATTAAAACTGTATTATTACTCCTGGGTTTATACCCAAAGGATTTAAAATCAGCATACTATAGTAATGCTGCCACGTCAATGTTTATAGCAGCTCAATTCACAATACATAAACTATGGAACCAATCTAGATATCCTTCAATAGATGGATGGATAAAGAAAATATGGTGTATATATAGTTAATGGAATATTACTTAGCTTTAAAGAAGAATGAAATTATGGCATTTGCCAGTAAATGGATGGCATTGGAGAATATCATGCTAAGTGAAATAAGCCAATCCCAAAAAACCAAAGGCCAAATGTTTTCTCTTGTATGTGGAGGCTAATTCACAATGGGGTGGGGGCAATAGAGAACAATAGAATTACCTTAGATTAGGTAGAGGGAAGTGAGGGGAGGGGAAAGGAGTAAAGGGAAGGGAGGGGTATAGGCATAGGAAGGATAATAGAAAAAAACAGACATTATTACTTTATGTATATATATGACTGCATGACCAATGTGATTCTATAACATGTACAATCAGAAAAATAAGAGGGGCTGGGGATGTGGCTCAAGCGGTAGTGCACTCGCCTGGCATGTGCGGGGCGCTGGGTTCGATCCTCAGCACCACATAAAAATAAAATAAAGATGTTGTATCCACCGAAAACTAAAAAAAAAAAAAAAATTAAAAAATAAAACCCAAAACTGGCAAATCTTACTGTATGTTAATTGTACCTCAATAAAACTGACAACAAAAAATTGTTAAAAAAAAAAGAAAAAGAAGAAATCATACCCATTTATGTATACTATATCAAAGCTCATAATTGCATTCTACTGTCATATATAATTAATTAAAACAAATTACAAGTTTTTAAAAAACTGGATTATGTGGTTTCATAGTCTGCCTTTTTCCCTCTCAGTAGAAGTTATATTATGAAATTCTTTCTTTCCTGAACATCAATAAATGTGCATCTCCACCATTTGATGCATTCTTGACATAGTTCCTAATTGCCAAAGACTTCTCAAGCCACACAGTATCATACTAGTGTAAACAATGCAGTCACAAATAGCCTCGAATGTGGGCTGGGATACAGCTCAGTTGGTAAGGTGCTTGCCTCACATGCACAAGGCCCTGGGTTCAATCCCCAGCCCCACCAAAATAATAATAATAATAACAACAAACAACAATAACACAATAACAACACAAAGTCTGAAAAAACAAATAGCCTTGAATGGTGAATCTTTGTACATGTCCTCACTGTAAGAGAGTGTTCTAGGAAATGGCCTGACCTGGTTAATAGCAGCAAATTGTTAGGTACTGCTCATAGATGAGAACACCTTAATTCTGGGCTGCTAGGATTAAGTTCTGCTCTGCTGATATCTGCTTGAATGGGGCCCTCCACTGCCTCTTCAGCTAACAGGAGCAGCCTCCTCAGTAAGTAGATGCGGGTCCCATGACTGAGGCTGCGAGAGGCATCGAGGAACTCAGAGAGGGGCCTGGCGTTAGCACAGAGCACACAGGGGTAGCGTCCCAGGCCGTCTAGGGCACCTTTTCACACACAGTCTCATTGAATATCCCTTGAAGTTACTACAGGTGGAGCATCCCTAATCCCCAAATCCAAAATGCCCTAAAATCCAAAACATTTTGAGCAATGACAAGGTGACATAAGAGGAAAATTCCACATCACACATTCACAAAATTATTTAAAATGTTGTATAAAATTACCATTGGGCTATGAGCACAAAATGCATATGAAACAAACGAAGTTCATATTTAGACTTGGGTCATAGCCCCCAAATATCTCATTATGTCTATGCAAATATTCCAAAATCTTAAAAAAGCCCAAATCCAAAACACTTTCAATCCCATACATTAAACCGTATTGGGAAAAATCAGACTCAGACCAGACAGACATTTGCCAAAACTATGGGACAAGTAATGATGTTGGACCACAAATCAAATAATGACGCTGTGTAAAGTTGACGTGCAAACATCCAGTAAAGTCGCTGTCTTTAAAGGGTGCAGGGTTTTCTGGGGGGAGGGTAACAAAAATGTTGATTGTCGTGATGGTCGTAGAGCTCTACGAATGTATGTATGTAAGGCTATTGAATTTTACATGTTAAATGGGCAACTGGCATGTATGAAGACACGAATGGTGTGACTACTTGTGTACAACCCCCCCGACATGAAAAATTGTGCTCTCTATGTGTAATATGAACGGAATCACATTCTGCTGACATGTATAACAAATTAGAATAAATAAAATAAAATAAACAAATAAATGGGCAACTTGGACGGCACATTGATATCTCGACCAAATTGGGAGTTGGAGGGAGGGAACCAGTCCTTGCCAACAGGACCCCTGGGTTTGAATCCTGACTTTGTTCCTGTCAAGAAACGAGRACTTGAACAAAATTCCTCCTGACTGAGGCTGTTTTCTTATAGACAATAAGGGGATAATGACGACTAGCTGTCAGGATTCTTGGGAGCGTTAAATAAGATTGTGTCAGCAAGCCCMTGACACCTGGAAGCCATTATGATCACCGTGATTCTAAATACGGCCCAGATGTGATTGTACCAGCACGGACACCTGAGCCATGCTAGTGGAACTCAAGATACCACGGTCCCCAGCACTGGTGACACCACGGTCCCCAGAGCTCATGATCAGAGGCTATTCTTAGTCCCAGCCWGTTCCTCCAAGTTTCTTTCCAGTCAAGCTTGCAGAACTAGGGTGTGGAGTGGGGTCATTTTCAGTAGAGAATGGAGACTTACCTAGAATCCTCAAATCAAATGATTGTTCCAGCACCCTTTTTCCATCTGTATCATATACAACTACATATACAATGTTTAATTTTCAGCATCTGAACTCTGGGAGGGGGCTGCTGCCAGGTTTGGGGGCCAACGGAGACCCTAGGCAGGAGGAAGGGACCCTGTGTCTGGCGATGACATTTCCTGGATGAAGCACAGAATTGTTTGTCTGCTCACGGAAGCAGCTTCCTCCCAGCTTCCGTGGTATTTCAATTCCCCTTCTTCTTCCTTCTGCTTCTCACYCAATCCCCCTTGCCCCTGCATCCCCACACATAACCCTCAGCATAACCATCCCTTCTCATTCCATCCTCAAGGCCAGGGATTWCCAACTCTGGCTACTAACCAGAACCACCTGGGGAGCCTTACCACTTACTGATGCCTGGGCCCCAGGCCAAGAATTCTGATACACATGGTCTAAGGTGGGCCGCTGGCCCTGGTCATTTCTAACAGCGTCCCTGTTGATGTGCATGGGTAACCAAGGTTAAGAACCACCCAGCAGCCCTGTGCACCTTGCTAGGATTATAGCAGCCGTTTTCCAGCCAGTCTCCCCACCTCCCACATCACCCACCACTCCTACCCTCTCAGCACACGCAGAGACAGGCAATATGTATTTTCTTCACATATCAGCAAAAAATCACCTTCCACCTCAATGGCCGTGCTATCGAGCAGATTGGAAACAAAGGCTGTTCGTCCTTAAATCCATCATTTCCAGCCCTTTCCTGCTATCTAAACTCTTCAGGGTACCCTCGCCTGAAATTGGCTCTTCAAGCAGCCTGTCCTTCCCAGCCCACACCTCGCTCACGGGGGACATCCAGTTTTCCTGTGCCCACCTGTCCCCTTTCTAATTAATGCCACCTTCATCCAGATTCTTTACCTAGCTCCACATCCTCAAAGCCACCCAAAGAGAGGGCTGTAGGCAGATGAGGTTGTTTTTCTCCATGTGTAGACCCTATCCCCCCCACTCACAGGACTGGAGTCTCCACAGGGCAGGAGGGATGCACTGGATTTCCTGTAGCGCTACCCCAGAGCTGAGGCCAGGATTGGGGACGTTTCACAAACACTACTTCCCAACTTGCTAAACAGAAAAAAAAAAAATGTAGAGAATGGAGACTTACCTAGAATCCTCAAATCAAATGATTGTTCCAGCACCCTTTTTCCATCTGTATCATATACAACTACTCGGTAGGTACTATTATAATATCCCTTCAGATGTTTAATTTTCAGAGTTCCATTTGCTAATATCTCGTAGGTTTCATTCTGCCGGGAAGGTTTCCTGCCTTTTCTGAATTGCGCAACCATGATCCCTTCTTTGTCCCATCGTATGTCATCAATAGCGTCTCTCATTTGAAAATTGGGGATGTCCAGGTTGATCTCTGGATCCAAGTCACTGCGGACAATCTCGATGGCTTTAGAGACTGAACCTGTAAAAAGCAAGACACTCACTGAGGTCTTCAGGCTCCCTACCAGAAAGTGAGGCTGTGAAAATTTTGATACTATTTCAGGGTCTCCAAAGAAGCTTCTCACAGTGACTGTGAAGACCCACACACCCACTTACTGACCTGGGCTGGGAAAGTTGAAAATCAGAAGAACGCCGACCAAGATTTCACACCGGTGGCTCATCTTTGGGATTAGTTTCCTTGTGGCAGTTCTGAGCTCTTCTTGAAAAAGGAACTGAGGTTGAAACTGGTAGAGTCCACCCCACTGAATGCTAAACCACGTGCCTCTCCTTTGTGCTTTTTTTTTTTTTTTGACAACAACATAGAACACGCACATACACATTTAGCACACACAGCCTTTCTGATGCACTCCTTTGCTGAAACAGTTGTGGTTATGAGTCTGTGCTTTCTTATCACACTTTATTTATTTATTTACTTAGTACTGGGGATGGAACCCAGAAATACTTTACCAGTGAACTACATCCCCACATCTTTTTATTTTATGTATTTATTGACTTAGAGACAGGGCTTCACTAAGTTGCTGAAGCTGGTCTTAAACTTGTGACCCTCCTTGCCTCAGCCTCTGGAGAYGCTGGGATTATAGGCATGAGCCACCACATTTTGCAAGAACTATGCATGCACCACCACACCAGCTCTTACCACATTTTGATCCTCACCAAATTAAAAAAAAAAAAAAAAGGGGGCGGGGGAGGGAATCAATCCATTGAAGAGAAAATTAACAGAAAGGTTAAGTTGCCCAGGACTGTTCTTTTGTAAGCAAAGAGCCAAAATTCAATGATCCAACCCCTCTTCTACCCACTCAGCTATCTTGCCTCTAACAGAACCACCTAGAAACATGGGTAACTGTTCTTAAGTGAATAGAAAAATACAAATATTTATCCTATGATGATAAATACTGGAAAATGTATACACATGAAATGATTAGGAATGGATTTTTTCCTCTTTCCTGAAAAGATATTTTTAATGTTCTAAAATTGTTTATGTTATAAAAAGGAAGAAACACAAATTGAGTCTCAGCTGTAAATGCTTAAAAATCTCCAAATCTTCTGTTTAGCACATATTTTACAACTCTTGAAATTCACCGTTAGGTAAATAAAACCTTGTTGCAAAACATGTAAGAGGCATGGAGCCTATGAAAACCAACCAGATCGAAAAATATCTAAGGTGGTCAACATTGCAGATGGTGAAAGAAAGGGAGCGAGAGGGAAAAACAGAGAACGAGAGAACAGGGAGGGGAAAGAGATGAAATTTGTGACACTGGGAGAGAGTGATGCAGAGATGGGTGTCTTCTGCAAAGGATGCCCTGTGAATCTGGCACAAGAAACACGGAGAGCCCAGGAACAGGTTTCCAAGGGAAGTTTTCAGTTGGAAGATTCATCAGGACACAGTGAGCAAAAGTTTTAAAAGTAGTGCTTTTTTAGGTTTTGGTTTTCAACGTCAGGTACAGAAACAGATATTATCTCTCAGAAAGTTGCCCAGGAAATGCAATGAAGTCAAAGCAGTGGATTGCTACTGCTGTGTGAAAGGAAGCCTAAATAACGCATTCACCTCCTGTTGTGTAATAAACCCCTCGCTCACAACACTCATGACGACAGGTGACAATTGGATTAAAATTTTAAACGCTATAAAACTGTAATACTGCTTAAAAGACAATATAGAAAGACGTTTTTATATCTTTGGGTACAGAAGGCCTAACTACATGTATCACACAATCCCAAAGTAATAAAAAAAAAAAAAAAAGATGAACATCATTGACTGCATAAAAAAAATGTAAAATTATACTTTTCACATATATTGCAAATATTTTGTCACGTCTTTTCATTTTTTACATTATTTCTTGCCTATACATAAATTTTTAATCATCAATGAGAAAAAAAAGCTTTTAAAATGGGCAAAGGATATAAATTATCAGCTTATAGAAGAAACATCAAACATGACTCTAATGTCACCCAAAAATAGAGATATCCTAGTGATAAAACACCATCTTTACCATAGGGTTTGCAAAATTATAAAAGACAATAACTTACATTATTATCGATCCATGTTTATGTGTGTAGTGCTGGGAATTGAAACTAGGGCCTCATGCATGCTGGGCAAGCATTCCACCTTTACTGACATGAATGTCGGGGGCTGAAGGAAAAGTCTCTTTTTTAATGTATCAACTTCTGTGAAGTTCGAAATTCTGTTAAAGGACACCAACTTTTTCTGTAATAATTWAAAAAAAATAATACAGTAAGCTTAAGGCACACATTTTCCCCCTAAAGTATATGTAGACTCTGAGAAATAATTAGCATGTAGCTTCTTTGCTTGTAAGTGACTAACCCACCAGCCACCCATCTAAAGCTAGCCCTGGTGACAATCATTGTTTAGTTTACTTCTGATCAATCGATCCATCTATTCTATCTCTTTAATTTTGGAGTGGGGTACTAGGGATTGAACCTTGGAATGCTCTACCACTGAGCTATATCCTCAGTCCTTGTTATTTTTGATTTGGAGACAGAGCGTCTCTAGTTTGCCCAGGCTGGTCTTGAACTCGCCACCCTCCTGCCTCAGGCTCTGTGGCATCAAAGGCACGTACCACCCTACCCAGCTTGCCTCTGCTTTTAAGACAGGTTGCTTCCTCTTCCTCTCATTTGCCTGATAGATTTTCCAGTGCTCTCACAGAGCAAATGGAAAGCTGCTTTATGTTCTTTTTTTTTTTTTTTTTTTGAGACTTTAACTCTCCTCCTCTCACGTCTAAATTAATTGGGAGTCATGAGCATGTCTTCAAGGGCAGAAACCATGAAAAAGAAAGGGATTCATAGGTATGACTGTAAAATTTTAAACTTTTGTATGTAAAAACCTATTTAAAAATTTAAAGGCCAAGTACTAAAAGAGACAAATTATTTGCAAGATACTTGACAAAGGCTTAATATCCTTTAAATTAATTTTTTTTTCTTGGGCTGGGGCTGTAGCTCAGTGGCAAAGCACTTGCCTAGCATGTGTAAGGCACTGAGTTTGATCCTTAGCATCACATTAATATAAATAATATAATATAATATAAATAATATATAACCTAAATAAATAATATAAATAAAATAACAATATAAAGTAAATTAATTATTTTTTCTTGTAAATGTAGTAAGAAAAGATAGATACCTTCTTAATAATATGGGTCAAGGTCCTAAAAGGAGAAATTCACAAAATAAAATACACAATTAAGGGGCTAGAGATGTGGCTCAAGTGGTAGCTTGCTCGCCTAGCATGTGTGAGGCACTGGGTTCGATTCTCAGCACCACATAAAAATAAAATAAAGATATTGTGTCCACTAAAAAACTAAAAAAAACCCAAAAAGATACAATTAAATAAGAACTCTTGAAAATACAGTTTATTTATACAGAGATGCCCATCTGAACACAGATACATTTTCAATTTTCATTAAAAAAAAACACCCAGTGTTGATATGGGTAAAAATGCATCAGTAGAAATGCAAATAAGTGTGATTGCTGGTGGACAATGTGTCATGTGAATCAGAAGCATTGGAAATATTTGTATTCTGACCCAAGTCCACAAGAGTAATTTTTTCATAAGAAAAAAATGAAGGATCAGGACTAAGATTTGACTATAAGCTTCTATACTACAATATTAAACTGAAATTGGAAATAATGTAAATGTCTAAGAAAAAAAGGAATAGGTAAATCATGGTATGGACAAGCCATGGAAATATGAAAAAATCAGGACCCAATTGTAGGAGAGAAAAATAAAATCTTTTTCCTCTACCCATCTTAGGTACTCCAGCCTTGTGATTACACTGGAAAAAGACTGATTAACAAGAGGAAAACACCGAAGTACATGAACATGTGCATAGGGAAGCACCTGGTGAGGAGGGGTGGTTAGAACCTGGCTTATATACCACATTAGGCTAAGTAAGTAAAAAGGGGCTGAGGGATCCTGGGGGTTGGGGGGAAGCAAGTCATGGGATGACCAGGAAAGGTATGTTAAACAAGGGCTGCTTAATGAAAGATCTGTTTCTAGACTGAACTCAGTACCGGAAAGGGAGTAGCCTTTCACAAATGAATGCTTCCTTTATCAATGTAACTTTCCCACCCAAAAGGAATCTTGGTGCCCTATGTTTAGAGCTTTTCCTGCCTCTGCTCATTCTCAGTGGCTTTTAGTTCAGAATAATCCATGTTCCAAAGAGGTGTGTTTCAGAGCCTCACCTCAATAAATGATGCAATCTCATTTTATGTATCAAAATAGTGTGTGTTGAGTGTATGTCTTTTGGAATGAGGTCCCTGTGTGGTGGGATAACTGTCTTTGGTTGGTGTTGCCATTCTATTATTTCTCCATGGAATCCACTGGGTTTTGGTTGATTTTTAACTCTAAGTGCGCTTTGTAACAGCTCCAAGGATGGAGGGTGGGTGCAGTCCCGCCTGTGGGTGCGAGTGTTTCAGGAGAACATCTGGTCGATGACTCGGTCCAGCTTCTCAGTAGTCTAAGGGCTACCTCCTGCTCTATCTCCACCCATCATTTTTAAAATTCAAACTAATCCTCCTGRGAGGTGGACTAACAGGAAGAGACCAAGGAACGGAGGAGGAAGACAAAAACGTTCTCAGAGGTCTTGCTTTCGGATGAGATCCCTGACTAGCAACGTGCTGAGAGTCCAGCTTCACTTCTTCCTATGCCAAGGGAACTCTCTAGCAAGATTGAGGTCTAGAGGACACGGTGGTCAAACTCCATTTTCTAATTCACATCCAACTGAATTTCTTGAATTGTGAGATTTCAGAGGAGAACAAAATTCAAAAGGGGATCTCTCTACAATTCAGTTGAAGAAGGTTCTAGGGATGCATCTGCCCACCTCTGCCAACCCAGTGCCCAATCCTCAGCTCCTTAGACCTGTGCTACAACCCCGGGGACCCTCTGGCTTCATCCTGAGACCTCCCGGCCGTCATTTCTGCCTTCTACACCTGGCTTGCCCCTACACAGGGATCACTAAGTCCTACCCACCGAGCTATAGAATGTCCCTCCCCTCTCCAGTCCAGCCACTTGTGCCCTCACAATGCCTTCCCACACATTCAAAAAAGCAGCCCCATGTGTAGCCCTTTTTACTAAAAACTGACTTCAGTGATTATCAGAAAGCCTGCACCAYGGGTCTCTTTGCAGCCAGGTCCTGTGGATGTCGGG